AGCATAGCTAGAGGGTTACTCTGAAAATAAAGAGTGGAAGGGAGACTCAGAGACAGACATTCCAGATGCAGAGCTAGCCCTCTTCAGCAATAGGGGCTCTCGTGTTTTGTACAGGTGCTGTGTGCAGAGGAAATCAGTAAACACCGAACAAAGCAAAGCTAAGAAACATGTCTTGAAATAGACTTGGACCTTTCTTGAGCTCAGGTGATAAAATGCCTTAATGCAAACACAATTGGATAGAGTTATTTGAAAATAGTTCAATGTACCTTGTAGAAGTGTAGAAATACACTACAATGTCTCTAGCAAAAAATATATACCTTTAATGTCTTTTCTAGTGACTGAGCTGTGAGAGAACTGTTAGTACTTCAGACAGTTCAAGAGAATCTTCTATTGTCAGGTGTACCTCCTGTATTTCAGATCAGAGAAGCAGAGCAAGCCACAGCCACCTCGCCTTGTCAATTCCTCAGTTGATCCTGTTTCCTCAGACTGGAAGCCTCTGAGTCCTCATCCAGAATGAATCCCAGCTGAACTGCTGCTACTCAAAAGCCTAAAGCTTAACCAGCTCTAGTTCCTAGTTTCATGCCTTATATACCTTTCTGCTTTCTGACATCACTTCCTGGGATGAAAGGCATGAGTCACCAGGCCTGGCTGTTTCCAGTGTGGCTTTGAACTCACAAAGATCCGGATGGATCTCTGCCTTAGGAACGCTGGGATTAAAAGTGTGTGTGTGCTACCATTTTCTGGCCTTTGTGTCTATCTAGTGGCTGTTCTGTCCTCTGACCCCAGATAAGTTTATTAGGATGCACAATATATTGGGGGACACAACATATCACCACAGGGTACTATTTCTTAAACTGAGACAGAGTAAGGGAGGAAGTGGTCTTGAAGATTGTGCATATTCATAGGTTTTTGAATATGGTAACTCTGAAATTGTTTGTTGGATATCTAAGTGGAGATGTTGAGAAGATAAACACAAGGAGTTACAGTTTAGTTTAGGTATTGGTCCAAGCCAAAATTATGAATTTGGAAGTAATTGTAATTGGAGTAGTTACGTATAGAGAAAGTTTGTACCTTATTTCAGAGGCACTTCAGAGTCAAAGGGGGGGATGAAAAAGACCTTGCAAAGATCATGGAGGGACACACAGTGAAATGGGAGGGCAATCAAGATTGTGGGTTGTGGTGGTATTGTGTTTCCTAAAATATTGTGCATGCTAACAAACTTATCTGGGGTCAGAGAAGAGAACAGCTACAATATTAAACATAGAGGATAGGCAGTGGTAGCACATGTCTTTAATCCTAGCATTCCAGAGGCAGAAATCCCTCTGGATCTCTGTGTGTTCAAGGATACAGCCCATCATGGTGACTCATGCCTTTAATCCCAGGGAATGATGGCAGAAAGCAGAAAAATATATAAGGTGTGAGGACCAGAAACTAGAAGCTTATGCCTGGTTAAGCTTTTAGGCTTTTGAGCAGCAGTTCAGCTAAGAGGCATCCAGTCTGAGGAAACAGGATCAGCTGAGGAACTGGCGAGGTGAGGTAGCTGTGGCTTGTTCTGCTTCTCTGATCTTCCAGCGTTCACCCCAATACCTAGCTCCAGGTTTGTTTTTATGAATGAGAACTTTTAAGATTCGTGCTACAGTACGCCATTCTTGTTCAACACATTTCATACTCTACCTGAGCATACTCACCCACACCACCCTAGGATGAACTATTAGAGTCACTTGCCAGCATTACTACAGTATTTTCCTAAGTGCCTTCTTTACTTCCAACCTGGCCTTCTCAGCAAGCTATTGTTTGCGTACGCATGAGAGTGATGGGTTTAAATCAAGCGACAGCAATCTTTGCGCGAAATTACCCAGCACTTTTCTGACTAAGAGAGAAGTTCTCAGTTGGTGTGCCATTTTGCCTTTCCCCTCCCTCCCCTCCACACTCCACCCTCTGTAGCCACCACACTGGTAAGTTACGCTGACTTCCCTGTTGTTCTTGTGTATACAAGATGCTCTGTGAGTACACGCTACAGGCATAAACTACATTCAAAGATGTTCATGCAGAAAAAAGAACATGGCCTTTCACTTCATTTCATTTCACAATAAAGATGAGTGTAAGCCACTGATTTATGAGTAAAGAGGTAATTGTTATATTATTCAAATTACTGTGTTTTTCTTGACTAATAGCAAGAGTTTAAAGTTTTAAACTCTGAAAAATTTATTAAAATGAGCGCTGTTTCTCCTAAATAGCCTTTTCCACTTTGGAAAGATTTTCACTCAGGAAACAAAATATGGAAATGAACTCAAGTCTAACTAGTATTAGTGCAGCATAATTGCATGCATAACTATATAAATAAAGGATAATGTTATTGTAAATATTCTGCCTCTTAACAAGCACTATTAATTTCATTTGAATACATGATGCACTTTAACAAGATTTAAATTTTTCTTGATTTAATGCTATTTAAATATCATTGAATAAGTCATTTTTTTCTTCTTTGTTAAAGTAGTGCTTCATGGATTATGTTTCTGTTCCTTTTGCTTCTACCATTTCATTCAGGAAAAAGTATTAACAATCACAGAATGATGACTCTGACAGAAATGTTGCTTTGCAGAAGCAGTAACTCAACAGTGCTTGGAGGTTGTAGAATTATGCAAGCTAAAATGCATTCCATATACGCTCCTCCTCTATAGTCTGTCTCTCCTTTCACTGTGTGCCTTCCAGAGGCTACACAAGATTGATAGATATGTCAAACCCCCAAAACCAGAACTGGAAAGCATGTAAGTGTAAGTCTTGAGTTGACTATAAAAAGGATATATTACTGAATGGAAGCATGCAGGAAGGGATAGTAGTAAGCAATGAATCTCATATTAATTATACATATGCAATGGGGTGTGGAGATGATAGACACGCACTGAACTGTTTTCCTGGAGCACAATAATTAGATGCTTTTCAGTACTCAACAGTAAATTTCAAGCAATTGTATGGAAGGGCATGATTTTCCTTTTATTAGCCAATGCAAAACAACTCTGTTCTATTGCAAGCCTATTAGATCTTTTATTTATTGATTTCTTGCATCTTTTATTTATTGATTTCTCAAAGATCTATTTTACATTTCTGCTTCACAATCAGTAGTGAACCTCAAATGCTGAAAGATTTGAAACTGCTGAATAACAAATCTATGAATTCACAATTATATTCTAGATGATGTAGGAAATGTCATTTTAAATGGTAAAATCAATATGTATTTTGATTCATTAGAAAAGTACATAATGGCTATTTCTCACATCTCTTCAGACTCTGTTTAACCAGTGTGCATTGTGATGCCTGGCCCATGGCACTTCTATATTTAGTTCTAATGGAGCACTCTTAAATTGCTTATTTTGTGTTTACTAAAGTTGGCCTGTTTGTTACCATGGAAACTTTGACAAGTGCTCTAGCTAACTATTTTATTAGATGAATTGAAGATTCAGCTGAAGACTGGAGGTGCAGGAAATCATTTTTAAAGCATACTTTTTAGCATCTGTGAAGTGTGGGTTACTATTATATATATATATATATATATATATATATATATATATATGATATTATGTTAGGATCTATTTCATTTCAAATTTGGAAGGCTATCAGTATTTAGAAGTCTAAATTACAACTAATGCTTCAGTATCTCTAGGATACAAAGAATATGTGCTCTAAAGGGGTATTTGTAACTCAGTTCTGTAGAAATTAGAAAAATTGGAACAATTTAACATATGGCAAATAGCTGTCCAGTCTTATTCCCCCAAAGCTCTACATCCTCCATCTATAGTAGTATCAGAAACAACTTCTGTTCTCAGCTCTGGTAGCATGAGCCATGATATAGGATGTTGCAGGAAGAAAAGGGCTTAATTCACTTGTTTTGCTCGTAATAGAATTAGCAATGCCACTTTGAATGGCAGCATCCTGTGTTCTTGAAGATGCTGGGGCTCTTGGTTCAAACCTTCTGCTATCTGCCCACACCTTTGTTCCTCGTGTCCAGATGTCCTTCCTTTTCTCACAGTTCACCTAAATCTCTTGTCAACCTTACCTCCATATACCCCTTCCTGTTCTGTCACTGAAACATAATTCTCCTCAAGATGATATCAACTAATCTTTAAAAATGAGAATAATCTTAATACACATTATCATCTAAGAGATCAAGATAGCTTTCTGAAGTTTTTTGCATTTACAATTGACCGAAACAAACCCATAGCTTATGAGATTACTCTCACTTTGACTGAATAGAACAAATATTCAGAAAATAAGGATGAAAGGGAATTGTTTAAGGATTACCAGTTGTCAGCTTCAAGGAATCAGACAGAAAGGAAGTAGTTTAAAGAAATTCAGCTTCTCAACTGTATTTCATAGAGCATGAATGGCAAAGATTGTGTTTTGGATCAACAGATGTGGATAATGGCAATACAGAAAAAAAATACGATAATATAGATATTTTCCCATTTCCTAACAAATTAAAATAAAAGCATTGTCATTTGGATGCTGTGTATTTTTCTCATTTATTGCAGCACATGTAAGAAAGACAGTAATTTGCTATGTCCAAGAAATTAAGAAAAAGGATATAACTTTTAATTCCCAAATCATGATGATATAAAACAAATATCTCTTCACTCTTTACAAAAGTATATTTTTCATAGACATAGATTTAATACAAATACATAGGACATGGATGATAGTGTTTTCTAGAATCTTAAAAATATTTTCCTATACTAACTGTTAAAGTTATTGGTAAAAGCTAATAGGATTTGATATGGTGTTTTTCCACAACATAGTAACTGAATTACACCCTAAACTCTTTATGTGCGTATATAAAGTAAATATAAAAGCAATAAATTATGTGAAAATTAAATTATTTTATTGAATGTCAGTGGTCATTTAAGTTGAATTTTTATAGGAACATATTTTAATTTTATTATTACTCGTAGTTCACATAGAAGATATATTTTTGATCTAACATTCATTTTTTTCCCTCTCCATAGGTTCTACTTTCATTTGTAACACTCACATAATCCCAGTGAAGAACCAAGAGGGCGTGGCTATGATGTTCATCATTAATTTTGAGTATGTGACAGATGAAGACAATGCTGCCTCCCCAGAGAGGGTAAACCCAATATTACCAGTCAAATCTGTAAACCGTAAGTACAAGGCCACATGTCCATAAAGTCCTGATACTCTGCTGCTGCTGTAGTCATTTGCATGAGTCAGTTCTCAAATAGGAAATATTACTATTGTCTATCAGATAGCCATAGCTGATGTTACCCTTTGACCCTCTACAGAATTTATCATCTACTTTGACAGCCATATGTAGTAGAATATTATTTAAAGGTGTGTTACTTTTGTTTATGTTGCATTTGTTTAACTCTGTGAACCTCTATTACTGTGCCTGTCTAAAATACCTGGTGGTCTAATAAAGAATTGGCCAATAGCAAGGCAGGAGAAAGAATAGGCGTGGCTGGAAGGTAGGGAGTATAAATAGAAGGAGAAATCTGGGAAGAGGCATTGGAAATCTAAGATCTAGGAGCCAGAGAAGGAGGAAGACTCCAGGGGCTAGCCACCCAGCTAGCTATAAAATAAGAGTAAGATATACAGAAATAAGAGAACAGGGAAAAGTCCAGAGGCAAAAGATAGATGGTATAATTTAAGTTAAGGAAAGCTGGCTAGAAACTAAACCAAGCTAAGGCCAGGCATTCATAAGTAGTAATAAGCCTCTGTGTGTGATTTATTTGGGAGCTAGATGGCAGCTCCCCCTCCCGTGAAAAGAGTTAAAATAACAACAGTCATATGTCTCAGGTATGCCATGATGTATTTTACCAATGCCTTATTTTTAAAGGGTCATACTATGTAGTTCTGGATGGCCCCTGAATTCAGTATATAGTTAGGATGGCCCCAAACTGACTGCATCTGCTTCCATAGCACTGAGACTAAAGGCGTGCTCCACCTATCAGTTCTTTAATCTGAAAAACACTTAAGTTGTTTTCAAATGTTAGGTATTAGAAATAACACTTCATAGAGGTAAACAAAGAATTTATATTGCTTGATAAGCTATTAGCTTATAAATTAAAAAAATAGTTTATCTCGGTTAGCTCAAAATAATGGACCAATAAACAGATAAAAGAGGTATTAAAAAGAACTAATAAATACATCATACAAATATGTTGATGTTGGTAAAATAAGGTAGTTCACACTGTTAGGGGATATTTTGTTTGCTCCATTTAATGATTTTTCCAACTCAGCCTCCTGTACCTTAATTTAGGACACATTGATCTTCTTCTCTTTTGTTGCTGCATTTTAAACTAAATTTTAAGTTTTATTTTAGTTGTACTATTCCATCCATATGGTGCTTGTTTTTTGATACTTATTAAGATGTTATCCTTCCCTTTTATTTGATTATAGTTTTGTGGGAATGCATGTTTATTGATAAATTGATTGTTTTTCATAGTGATAGCATTCTGTGTTGCTCTATTCCATTTTATCGTGTTAGTGTTTGGTTGTTTCAGTATACATATATGTCTGTTTATAATTGTTAACATTTTTACTTTTCTAATGGTTGTCTTTATAAAATAATTTATGAGATGCCATATATCTGCACTTACATTGTAGCTAGAGTTTTCCTGCCTTGCCCACAGTCAGGACAAATCTTTGTCACCCGCCCGTCCCACAGCCGCTCAGACCCTACCAAGTAAATACAGAGACTTATATTGCTTACAAACTGTATGGCCATGGCAAGCTTCTTGCTAACTGTTCTTACAGCTTAAATTAATCCATTTCCATAAATCTATACCTTGCCACGTGGCTCGTGGCTTACCCACATCTTCACATGCTGCTTGTCATGGCAGTGGCTGGCAGTGACTCCTTCTGCCTTCCTGTTCTTTCTTTTCTCCTCTCTGTTAGTCCCTCCTATACTTCCTGCCTAGCCATTGGCCAATCAGTGTTATATTTATTGACAAATCAGAGTAATTTGACATACAGACCATCCCACATCCCACAACAAACATAGTTTGTTGAATTTATAGATTTGGTTCCTTCTTCATCCTCACCACACAATCAATTTTGATTCCTTACTTTGAGCAAGAAGATCGTTTTCTGTCTTTCCCACCATAAACTTTTAGTTAATAATATATTTATTTCTTTGAGGTTGTCATTGTGTTGCTAAACATCTTTAGTAGTCAGCTATTTGACTTATTAGTTTGGATTATATCATTAGACTCCTATACCTTATTGGCTTGGATTATAGCATTAGACTCCTATATCTTGCCAACAAGTCACCCAAATGTAGTCTGGTTTATTTTTCTCCCCACCCTGCCCCTTTTTTGACATTATTTTCTAGTCTGTCAGTTATGGAACATTTTTATATTTTTCACTTTTGTTTTTGTCTTAAATTCCTAATAAAATATAATCAGTATTCACATGGATCTCCTCAGTTTCCCCAGCATAACTTACTAAAATAAACTTACTCTTGCAAAGTGTTTTCAGAACACTTTCTTATTCCTCGGGGCTGTGATTTGAATGATAAATGTCCACCATAGCCTCATGTATATGAATATTTAGTCTCCGGTGGGTGGTACTGGTTAGATAAAATTCAGGGGTATGGACATGCTGGATTAAGTATGTAATGTAAGGTTGAGCTTTGGAAGACTCAGGTCTTTTCTATTTCGGTCTCTCTGCTTTGTGCGTGTGGGTTTAAGATGTAAGCTTGCCACTCCAGCTGTCATGTCTGTTTCTTCCCCCCACCATGATGAACTCTTGTCCCTCTAGACCCATGAGCCTGAACAAACCACCCCTGCTGTAAGTTGCCTTGGTCATGGTGTTTTATCATAGCAATAGAGAGGTGACAAGTAAAACACACCGTTCTTTGATAGCCACAATGCTTGAAGGACAGCATTGGTAGATAATAGCAATTAGGGTGTTACCTTTCATTTGTATTGGCCTGGGACTCCAACAGCCTATTTATTCTTTTCTTCCTTTAAGTGCTGCTGACAAGGAGTCTAACACCAGTCTCCTTAACCATGCTAGCTATTTGGGATCTGGGTCTTATGTAACTAGGAATCTGGCCTTTTTTCATCTCACACTTCCTATTTCGTCTCCAGTATGGACACGTCTCTGCAGGAGGACTCTTCAGAGTCTAGTTCATCTTTCTAATATTCGTGCCTCCACTTTTCTTACATAGGTTCTGTGTGGCTCTGTTCTCTGATTCGTCCTGTGTCCTCCTCAGCAAATTCTACTGCTCTAGTTTTTGGTGATCATTTCTAGGTGCAGATGAAAACTGATGTTTGAAGATATTCCTCTAACCATGCCATATGCATGCCTTATGGGTGCTATTGATTTCTATGGTTGGAGATGACTCATGAAATTTGGACTTTATATACCTGGTATTTCTAAGGCATGCTGGAAAACATTGCAAAGTGTTAATAATAGAAATTTAAAAATCCTAAGCTTTATCTACATGACATAACAACATGCATAAAATATAATCATGCTTCCAAAAGCTCATGCTGTCCATTGTGTCCAAACTTTGAAATGAGATATATTTATAAGTAGGGGCCAGAGGTTGACATTGGTAACTTTTTCTGTGGCTCTCTACCTTATTTTTGAGATCAGTTCTCCCACTGGACCTTGGCCTTACTGCTTCAGATAGACAGTTGATTCTCCTGTCTGCCTCCATGGTGCTGAGATTCTAGGCCTGTGCTACTTGCAGCCAGCTCTTTGTTTATTTATACCGTATCACGCATGTGTGTGTGTGTGTGTTCATATGTGTATGAGTGGATGTGTTTAGGTGCACATGCATGGCCCTGAAGTTGATATCATGTGTCTCCCCTAAGCACTTTTCTCTTTATTTATTGAATCAGGATCTCTCAGTGAACTAGGAGTTCATCAGTTCTGGCTAGACTAGCTAGCCAGCTTGGCCTACTGTTGACACTACAGTACCTACCTGTTTCTCACATGAGTTCTGGGATCAGAATCTGGTCTTCAAGTTTACACATCAAAACTTTTATTCACAAAGCCATATCCTTAGCTCTCATATTCAGCTTTTTCACATGGGTTCTTGGGATGGAACTCAAGCCAACACTCACATGTGTGCAGTTTCCTAGATGAACTGTCATCCCATGTACAACTTTTTGGCATTGAAACACAAAACTGTTATCTATAAAGTTCAAGCTTAATAGCCATATTGAAATGTTTTGGTTGTGTTTCTTTTAGATTACACACACACACACACACACACACACACACACACACACACACACACCAAACACATAAAAACAAAAAACTGGTCATGTTTTATGGCAGGTTATGCTTTTGGATGCGGTTTAATTATCCTTGGCTCCATGATGTTTATGGTCCATGAGTTACAGGTTCTTCCCTAAAAGTATAAATCTAACTTAATACTAAATCGAACAATTAAACATTTTTCATAGTATCAGTTACTTTATTTGCCAAGTCTAAATATCAGTACAAATTTAATTTTCCCTAAAGCTGAAAGATCCCAGCATACTAGCTTAGCCTAACGCCATTTCAAGTAAGGTCTGAAAAGCGCAGGGTGTCTACAGCCGGCCTCCTGGCCCCAGAAAAGAGTACTAAAGGTCAGAAAAACAACTTGGAGCCAGGCAGCAGGCGTGTCAAGCTCGGGGAAAAACCACGAGCTGCCCTGAGTTTGAACCCGGCCTCATTTGAATCGTCCAATCAGAGCCCTGTAAACCATGAGTTGCCCTGAGTTTGAACCCACCCTCCTCGTGCTCCTGCTGCCCGACCCTATAGACCCTATAAAAACCCTCCGCTCCAGCCCGGGGCGCGCCAGTCTCTTGAGCTTCTTGAGGGACTGTGTTGCCCCGGGTACCCGTGTTCCTGAATAAAGCCTCTTGCTGTTTGCATCTGACTCGTGGTCTCGTGTGATCTCTGGGCGAGGGTCTCTCCAGAGGGAAGACTGCCTTCGGGGGTCTTTCAAAGCAAAGGTAGAACAAATATATTAATGTAATATAATGCCAATATCCTAAATTATCACCCTGAAAAATACTACATTTGAGAAGATTTATTGAAAAATCTGTAATTCTTAAATCTTCAAAAAGATGTGTTTTGAAACAAAATTAAATTACTATAAAAATTCTGATCCCAAACATTATGTCTTTAAAGTGATACT